CTGTATCCCGCAGATTCCATTGTGACAACGATTACTCCATGCACCATAAGAGCCCCATATCATCCCTTCTCCTTCCAAATACTCTCCTTCCGAACACATAACATTGATGTTGTTCGCCGCTGTGTTATCACCCACAGTTTTGTATTCTTCAACTCTTAGAGTAAATGCCACTATGAAACCCCGTAGACACCAATGGATGGATTCCCATTCTCCCCAGCTGTAGAAGACAATAACAGGTTAGAGTTGGGCAGCAATTTTAAAATACTCATTCCTTAGCCTCTCTAACCTGAGAAATGAATGACTAAAACAGTTATAAAAGACCTAATTATAAAGATATATTGCAGCTTCATGAGCTACTTACTTGGGGGAAAAATTCCACCTCGAGTTCTCTGCAGTACAAGGCTAAATAGGGCCCTGGGATGAAGCACTTGTGACAGGGAGGGGTGCAAAACCAAGGAGTTGGCTAGACTCCCAAATATATACAGGGGGCTGGCTGCACTCACCTGAACATGCATAAATAGGGTGCTGCTGGGAGCCAATTTATACAATAAAAAAAATCCAGCGCACTCCCTTATCCACTAAACAGCAACTTTGGTGCTGACAGATTTTGTTCGTTTTTTTAAATAATAAAAAATAATGGGGGTTTAGTTACATTATATCATCATACATTGCATAAGCCTGTCACAACATCAATGTACCCCATCTTTGGCAGGTCCTACTCTAAGACTAATTGTGCATTAAAACGGTGCGGTTCTTCACCAACATTTTATCATGTTTCCTGTATCTTCTCTTTACCCCATCTTTGGCAGGTCCTACTCTAAGACTAATTGTGCATTAAAACGGTGTGGTTCTTCACCAACATTTTATCATGTTTCCTCTATCTTCTCTTTACCCCATCTTTGGCAGGTCCTACTCTAACAGCCAAATGTATGCTACATTAGCTACTTACTTGGGGAAATCCTTCCATCTCGAGTTCTCTGCGGTACAAGGCTAAATAGGGTCCTGAGATGAGGCACCTGTGACAGGGAGGGGTGCAAAACATGGGCGTCCGTAGGAATTTTTCCAAAGAGGGCACAATTGTAATGACATCCATGCTTGATCCCTTTTTGACAGTGTCATGAAGGAGAGGAGCATAGTCATTATCACACAAAGCCAGGGTGAATAGCGTTTTCACAACTATGGTGTCAGGAATATATGTTTGTATTCCTGACACTATAGTGTTCCTTTAAGCAAATTAAAGAAACATTCTGGTCACCATAACAACTTCATCTAAATTAAAATGCTATGATGCCAGGAAGCCCCTGGGTGCTCTCTTTCCTTTAAGGGGTTAAATTGCTCTCAAATGGTTAACCCCCAAAGGCTTCCTCCAGCTCCAGATCTACAGGTCGCTCAGTGGTATTCAGCTTCTGAAACGGAGTGTCAGGAAGTGCAGATTGACGTCACTCATGGGTGCTGCAGATTGGCTAGAGTGGTCAGTTGACGCTCTAAGCCAATCACTAGTTCCCGGTTAATAAAAATGTTTTACTTTTTTATGAATGGGGAGCTACTGACTGACTTAGAGTGCCAGCTGACCGCTCTAGCCAATCAGCGACACCCCTCCCCAGCGGCACTCTGTGCTTCCTGACACTCAGTAAATAAAAGTGAACACATTAACACTGATATTGTTTTTTTACCTGGGGATATGAGAAGGTCCAAAATTTCCCTGTCTGGTTCCAAAGCCTTATGATGTGGTGTCCAGAATAAAGTGGAGGGTTCACTTCACTTGTTCTTCCTGCTCCAATCTCCTTTTCTTCTCCTTCATTTGACACGGTCTTCTTTTTCTTCTGACACTGTCTTCTCTCCTCCTTTGCTCCTTCTGCTCCTTTACCTTTCTGCTACTTTCTGCTTATTGTTCCCCCCCTTCTGCTCCTTTCTCTTTCTGATCCCTTTCTGCTCCTTCTCCTACTTTACCTTTGTGCTCCTTCTGATTCTTTCTGCTCCTTTACCTTTGTGCTCCTTCTGTCCCTTTCTGCTCTTTGCAGACCCTTCCCTCTCCTTGCAGACCCTTCCTACTCCTTGCTGCCCCTTGCAGACCCTTCCTGCTCCTTGCTGCCATTTTCGGCTCATTGCTGATCCTTTCTGCTCCTTCTACTTTACCTTTGTGCTGCTTTATGTTAATGCTCCTTGCTGTCCCTTCCAGCTCCTTGATGTCCCTTCCTGCTCTTTTCTGTTCCTTCTCCTTTCTGCTCCTTCTCTTACTTCAATCACACGAAAAATAGCAGAACAAGCTGAAATACCCGGGGGGGCAAGTACCCACACTTGCGTTCCCCCCACCCCCCATGGATGCCCATGGTGCAAAACCAAGGAGTTGGCTAAACTCCCAAATATATATATGAGAAAACAGGAGGCTGGCTGCACTCACCTTAACATGTATAAATAGGGTGCTGCTGGGAGCCAATTTATACAATAAAAAAGAAAATCCAGCGCACACCCTTATCCACTAAACAGAAACTTCGGTGCTGACAGATTGTGTTAGTCACAGGTGCTTCATCCCAGTGCCCTATTTAGCCTTGTACTGCAGGGAGCCTCAGATGGAATTTTCCCCCAAGTAAGTAGCTCATGAAGCAGACATTAGGCTGTTAGAGTAGGACCTGCCAAAGCTGTGGTACACTGACATTGTGGCAGGCTTATGCAATGTATGGTCATATAATGTAACTAGACCCCCATTATTTTTTGCCTAGATTAGGTGTTTTTAAGGTGTTTTTTAAAAACGAACAAACTTTCAAAGCACCGAAGTTGCTGTTTAGTGGATAGGTGAGTGCGCTGGATTTTCATTTTTATAATGTCTCTCCTCTTAGCACCAAATGTAAATTTACAGTTAGTGTGTGCTTGCTTCTGAGTACCGTCAAGCTAGAATTAGGAAGAAATCTAAAAATTTAGAATGGTGAATCGCGATTCTAAGCTTGTAATAATCTATTTAAGAATTCAAAGTTAGGGTTAGGAGGAAATATTTAAGAGACAAGAGTTAAGCATAGGAAGCCAGGATATACATTCTATTTAAAAATGCAGAATTATAGAAGGAGCAGGTGCTAGTTTAGGGTAACCTTTGTTGGGCGTGGTAGATTAGGATTAAGGAAAATATAACCTTAACATTAAAATTACCCCTATCCCTAAAATATTAAATTAAGGGTCATTACAACAAAAACCTTAGTAATAATAATTTTAGGGATATGGTAGGGCAGTAATGATACCAAATTAAGATGTTTTAACTACACGCAATATTCTGATGTGTGCTAATAATCAAGGCGTACATACAATTGCACCAAAAAGATGGTCCCTCATTCTGACACCATGCAGTTCTGACAAAAACATTTTCTACGACACCTTCCTCAAATCTATGCCCAATAAAACAAAGAAGCTTAATACTATTTTCATGCAAGTTGCGGCACGTGGAATCTAGAGTAAGCGTTTTCAAAAATTAAAATCCACCCAATGAGACAGTTTCTCTAACCTTCCATTTGCTGATTGTCTTGGGTTATTACCAGAAGTGCCGTCTTTCCTCTCGCAGTAGATTCTGATGCCATTTAGTGCCGTATCATCTCCTATATACTGATATTTCTCTACCTGCATTCAGAGAAGAATACAGGTGAATATTCTAATGTTAGATTAGAGGTTAAAATTAAAAGTGTTAAAAATGTTTAATATTTTTTTCTTTTCTTTACTTGGAACAGCTTTGACTTGAGTTAATAAGACACGTATGTTTTAAGAAGTCCCAGAACAGGCTTCCTAACTCTGTATTATCAACCAAAGATATACTTTTCAGGTAAAATTAGCTAACACCCAGTATAGTATTGTGTAATACATTGTAATAAAATTTGTATAATCATATTTAATCTTCATTCAATAAAACATAGAATTAATACCCTACTATGCTGACCTCTAAAAATGCCATAAATTTAAAAAGTAAAAAATAATATGTATATACTATACCTTTACAGAGATCCCCCTGGCACTGGTATTTTTTGGACAAACGTCTAGGGGTCCCCATATCCCAGCACCTCCACCATTAGTTACAGAAATGGTGATTGATATTTTTTTTGGTCTTTGTTATCCTTTATTAGTTGATTTCCCTTTATATTGCAGACAGACAAAAAAAGAATAAACACGAAAAACACAGGAACCCACATCGTGAATCCACTTATCAGAGAAAACTGGTGATATTGAGATGATGAAGGACAATTAATTCTATTTATATATCTATGTGTAAACATCAGATCACGGGCCACCTTCTCCAGGCATCTACCATTGGTCGTTCTCCAGAGTTTGTCCACTGCCCATTGTCCTCCCCGGTGTATGTGGAATACGTTATATTATTTATATATCTATGTAAACATCAGATCACGGGCCACCTTCTCCAAGCATCTACCATTGGGCATTCTCCAGAGTGTGTCCAATGCCCATTGTCCTCCCCGGTGTATGTGGAATACAATGTTACATTATTTATATATCTATGTAAACATCAGATCACGGGCCACCTTCTCCAAGCATCTACCATTGGCCATTCTCCAGAGTGTGTCCACTGCCCATTGTCCTCCCCGGTGTATGTGGAATACGTTATATTATTTATATATCTATGTAAACATCAGATCACGGGCCACCTTCTCCAAGCATCTACCATTGGCCATTCTCCAGAGTGTGTCCAATGCCCATTGTCCTCCCCGGTGTATGTGGAATGAAATGTTACAATGACCTCAATAATCCTTGTACAAATGCTCAATAATTCTAAACCTACATTCCCATTAATTTAGTGCTACTATGGATACTCCACTTAACCCATTTAAATACTCACTAATTTATCACTTTCATCATTTATATATCAAATAAAAAAAAATAAACAACTCAAATAACAGACACAATACTACAGTTCTTTTAATGAAGTCAGTTTACTGCTAGCAATAATATGGACAGAAGTAGAAAGTATTCTACTGTGCATACAAATAATCAATATTCATTAATGGCATAACAAATACAATCATTGTAAATAATTACAAATGTGTGTGATTTCATAAATAATTTCAACATGGGACATGATCAACATGAATGCCCCGATCTGGTGTAAAACTACACCTCCCATGATGCTTTGATGTAGTTTTACAATAGCTGGAAGTTACGTCTAAGATTACACAGTCCTAGAGAGATGTTCATCAATATGAAGATCTCTGGTTGGGTCTGAGGATTTGAGTTATACAGACGAGCAAGAGTAGGTTTGCAAGATTCTGAATGTGTAGTTCAGAAAGGTTTGGGAGAGACAGAGAGAGACATAATGTGCAGTGTTTGTGCTTGATACAATATTGTGTTCAGTAATACATAAAGGAGTGCTATATTTCACGAATCCCAGATGTCTCTGTCTAATGCAAAAAAAAAAGTGTCACAAATAAAAGGTTTTTCTTTACGGAAAATTAATAGTCTACTTATAAAAACAGCTTTGCCATGAAAAGCGTTTGGGCCCTAATAAAGTTTTGGAATAAACTGTGATCTTTAATTTTAGTATTTAGTTAGAACACAGGGTGTGACAGATATTAGATTTAATACAGGAACAGGACGACCTTCTTGCATTGTTAAATGTTATGAATGGGTCACACAGCCCGTACATCCCTTTCCCACCTGGATTGGCTGACAATTTAAATGGGCAATCACCTTCTGAGATACGTCCTGCATTTTAATGTAAGACATGGGTTTTTTTTGTTAACGTATGGACTTG